GGGACTCCAGGATCATGACCTGAGCCGAAGGCAGTCGCTTAACCGACTGAGCCACCCAGGCGCCCTCTGTTTCCTACTTTTAAATAACTTGTTTCCTTCCTTTAGGATGTCAGCTCAAGAGCTGACATGGACTTCCCATGATCTATTTACTATTCCTAGAATACTGCTGTCACATTATAGGTGCTAAATAAGCATTTCCCAAGTGAACGCAAGAAGTGTTTATTTTCAGAGTCACATCTTTGTGGTGAAAAATTTAAATAGTACAGAAGGACATATAGTTGAAAGTATGAGAGTAAATTTTTTTTCTGTTTTTTTAAAAACAACAGTTTATTTCCTTTCCTTCTAGAAATGTCTAGTGCTTGTGTGTCCAAATTCCTTTTAATTTTTACATGTGGGTATCAGATTATACAAAATTCTCTGCAGCTTAATTCTTTCACTATGTTCATTGTCTTGTACATCTTTCTGTACCAAAAAAACCTTGAGAACTTTAAGAGCAAAGTAGGTATCTGTAAGTATATAAATAGAAGTGATTCCAAAGTTTGTCTTAGCCTGTCTTCCCCTAAATGTTCATTTGCTTATTTTCTTTATCTTGATTATGGGAGAAGTGAGTCACCCCCCCCCTTTTTTTTGGTCAGTCACTGGGAATTCAAAGCGAGCTTTGCTGCCCTTTTACAGAAGAACTCCTCACTAAAATTAATACTTAAAAAATCAAAGACCAGAGGCATTGATCTTCTTGTCAGTCTTTTGCTCATTGCCCTGTGGAAATTCAACAATGTTGGCAGCTTTAGTCTCTGGGAAGTTCACCATCAGGTGGATGGAGCTGCTGATATTCCGGATGATAAAATAGTTGTTCTAATTTGCTAAGAACATACAGCACCTTTCTCTGAAAGCTCATGGTGTTTTTCGTGACCAGTCCTTCCTTCCGCTCTGGGCACAAGTCATTCCTACTACACTGTCACTCAGGCAGAGGGCCGCAGGAATCAAAGTAGAAGCTTCTCATCTGCTTGATAAAAAATGTAGATAGGTCTAAACAACATGCGCCTTTCTCCCAAGTATTCTTACAGCTTCCGTGAGTCACACTTGCATGTCGAGCCCTGGACTCTGCCCTCAACAGCTATGTGGTCTTGGCTAAGACACCTCACCTCTCTGATTCCCTCCTTTTGGAATCACTGTGTGGACTAGAGGTGATGGATGTAGGTACCCAGGCCGGGCACCCAGTAAATGTTAGTCATTATTATCGTTGCTATGACTCTGGTTTCTCTTAATCATCAATAACACGTTCTTTATCAGTGTTTCCTTTTGTTTCTCCTTAAGCATGTTCTATAATCAGAGTCCATAACTAAACCAAAGAAAAGAAAAAAGAAAAATAAGTTCCTGATATCTGTACCATCATTGCCTTAGGAGATTTTTTTTTTTTTTTAACATTTTAGAATCAATACTGTTTAAGAATAGGAGCTGGAAGCACTGTGAATGTTGGTGATGGATTTGCTTAAATTGAGTGCCATCATAAGACCTGGGTCACGGGGTTGGTTGTTGTTGGTTTAGCATGATGGTCACATTCTACATCTCTCTCTTTTTTCTTAAATCTCTTGGTGTGATGGACAGGAAGGAATACAATTTAATTTAATTTTATTCATTTTTTAAGTAGGCTATATGCCTAACTTGGGGCTTGAACTCACAACCCTGAAGTCAAGAGTCACATGCTCCATCAACTGATCAAGCTGGGTGCCCCCACATTGTGATCTCTAATTCCAGTAGCTGTTGGGAGAGGAAGAACCGATAAGACTTTACAGCTGGGCTGGCACAAGACATTTATTTAATAAGTGTTCATAGAGTACTAGGTGCCAGGGTTTAGGTAAGTAGTTGGAGGTACAAGTGTGAACTAGACCCTGTTGCTGAGAGCAGAGACCTCAGGGCAGTCTGCTGGCGAGACAGAAAGCTGCAGAACTCATCAGTAAAGCACATAAAAGTCCAAACCCTGTTCCTGAATGATGACATTTTTGAAATCAGCCAAGAGACTGGAAAGGAAGGTAGGAAAGGGAGGAGGAGAGGTACACATATATCTAGAATACTCGGGAGCGTCACGTGAACATGGACATGAAGATCCATGCTTGTCTCTGAAAGGCAAGTCCTAGAGGAGTCTGGGTGCCAGCCTAGCAGCTGGGCTGAACCCCATCAAGTGGAGGAAGGAAGGGATCAAGCTCCGGGCTTGCCCACTTATTTTTCATGTAAGTAGGATGCCTTTAAGGCACCTTAACAACTTGCCGCTGCTTCGGTTCAAATATAGACCCAAATGATCCCAGTTGTAAAGAAGGGTTTGCAAGACAGAGTAGCTGGGTGGCCAGAGTTCCCAGAGATTTACTGGCGGGGTGGACATGTTCTAGAACTGGGCAGCTTGAGGGTGTGCCGCTAGACAGGTAAGCTCGAGTCTTGGCTCTGCCGCCACAATCCTGAGAAAAGGAATCCCATCTCTGTGAGCCTTTCCCCTTATCTGTAAAATGAGGAAAACAACAGTACTTCCCTGCAGGGTTCTCTGGACTTCCGTGAGATCATGTAGGTGGGGCACATCCTGTTAACTATTATTACTGAGACTGTTCTGCCAGGGATGATGGAAGTGCAAGACGAGAAATAAAACCTTGAATTAAAAGGCAAAATCAAAGTGAGCTTGGGTGTCCTCCTGAGTTTATACTTACTTTGTCTTCTCCATATCCAGGCTCTGTATACATTCAGGGCGAAGTCATTTACTAGCCTTTTTTAGGAACACACTTTCGATAAAGTACAGAGTCCAGAGGACCTCCAGTTGGTGTGCTCACTGTTTATTTCCACCCTTCATGCTGGATGATCACTTTATATCCTTTGAAATATTTTTCAAGTCCCAATGAATGCTTTATAGAGTTCAGCCACAGGAAAGCCCTAAACTGCATCACTTTATAGATTACCTCCTTTGACAACACAGGGTGATGCTGGGGGATCAAGTAATTCATCAGAGAGTTATCAGGTTAGTTTTTTCCTTCCCAGGCATTCTTGTATTTTCTTACCAGAATCTTTTATTTGTTAATATCATACAGTAAGAGACAGTAGAAAGTATGTGCAGGTACAGTAGCTGCTCCCAGAAATAGATCGAAGGTGTGATTATTTAGCAATGTGTGATTCAAATCTTAAATCTCATGTCCCCAAGTACATCAAATTCTTCATTAGATTCAAAAGGGGATTAATCTTTTTTTAAAAAAGATTATTTGAGGCAGGGAGAGGGAGAGGGCAAGAGAGAATCCCAAGCAGACTCTACGATGAATGTGGAGCCCCACACAGGGCTTGATCTTACGAACATGATATCACAACCTGAGCCAAAACCAAGAGCTGAATGCTTAACTGACTGCACCACCAAAAAGGCGACTAATCTAATGGTTTCCAATCTGTTCCATAGAATACTATTCTTTAAAATGTTGGTAGGTTTTTGTGAAAAAGTTGCCAAGTAAGTTTTGGAAATGCTGTGTACTATTTTTCATACTTGGAGAATCTCACTATACGTTATCATGAGAAAGCCCATTGAACCTTTTTAAGAATTTTCAAACTTATTTGGCTGTAGACCATCCCCTCCATTTTTACACATGTTAATATCCATAAGGAAAGCACATGTTAGGATGCAGTTTGGGAAATGTTATGTAGGGACAATGGCTTGAGTTTTCCATTTTTAAATCTCATGCAAGTTTCATTTTACTGTGATGTCTCAGAAGCGTCTTCTAGGTGTTGGTGGTATGGTTCTAGTGATGTCTCTATTCCTCAAGGTGTTACATCACATTGGCTCAAGCTCTGGGAATGAGCATGGGAGGAGCTCCCGCCGGACCTGCAGGAACAGGGAAAACAGAAACGACTAAAGATATGGGACGTTGTCTTGGAAAATATGTTGTGGTTTTCAATTGTTCTGACCAGATGGATTTCCGAGGCCTTGGGCGGATTTTTAAAGGTGAGGGTTACAGTTTTTACTTGATGAAAAATTTAAGCTAAGGTGGAATATCTTGTTAAGATTTATTTTTCAACCATTGGCTACATTGTAGTGTCATTTTTCAGCTTTGTGCAACTTTTTGGAAACTATGAATCTCACTGGTGTTGTGTGGATCAAATGTCAACATCACTTGCCTTCCTAATGTTCCTTCATCCCTGCAGGTTGGCTGTTTCCAGATAAAGTACCACATGGTGAATTATTTTGGGGGCACTCTGTGCATAGTCTATTTGTTCAAGTTTATTTTTGAACAGACTCATCTCTGGCTTGTCTTGGCAGCTGCAAAATGCCCTTTTCCTCGGCTTTTCGAAATTATATATTAATTGGATTTTCTATTTAATTTCCCTTCGAAGGACTGGCACAGTCTGGATCCTGGGGTTGTTTTGATGAATTTAACCGTATCGATTTACCAGTTCTGTCAGTGGCAGCCCAGCAAATTTCCATTATTCTGACATGTAAAAAGGAGCGGAAAAAGTCTTTTATTTTTACCGATGGAGATAATGTGACTATGAACCCTGAATTTGGACTTTTCCTGACCATGGTAAGGAACCACAGGAAGAGCTACTGAATGTCAGCCTTCTTATCACAGCTTTCATGCCTTGCCCAGGTCTTTGTTTTCATGAATGGAAATTGGGGTGATAATTTTAACTCCTGTGTGAAAGCCAGTGGTGTTAAACAAAACTCATCTTAATAACTTGTGATGTTGTCTCTCCGGTTAAAGGGAGAGTAGGATATGGAAATGAGTTCTCCGGTTGTCAGTCCAGATTTGTTGCATGTGCATGATGAATCTGTTGCTGTCGTGCTGATGGGTGTGTGTTGCCCCATGACTGTGTCATTCATCTGTGTGTTTGTTTCCTGTATAGAACCCTGGCTATGCTGGGCGGCAGGAGCTCCCTGAGAACTTGAAGATTAACTTCCGCTCTGTGGCCATGATGGTGCCCGACCGGCAGATTATCATAAGGGTGAAGCTGGCTAGTTGTGGCTTTGTTGACAACATTGTTTTGGCCAGGAAGTTTTTCACACTCTACAAGCTGTGCGAGGAGCAACTTTCTAAGCAGGTGTGAGGTTCTGGAAGGCTCTCTGAACTTGGGCCTTCTTAGTTCTTCTCTTCCGTGAAATTTGCTCATTTTGAAAAATTGTTGACTGGGGCTGTCGGCAGATTACCTTATTGATACAAAGTAGAAAGTCATACCATTACAAAATTAATTGTATATGCGTATTTTTCTTAAGTGCATTTAAATGAATTAATATTTGCAGCATAAGAAATGAAATAAGTACTTTCAGAACTGATTTAAGAGCCAAAGAATTATAAATATGAATATTTGCTCTTTATCCCACCTGTACATTAATCATAATATGTGTTGTATGTCCTCATGGTTTTCAGGAACCTCTCAATCATTGCTCTTCTCACTTCCAAGCTCCCTAATGTAGTGGGCCACACCTTGCTAATAATAGTCTGTTTTATCTATTGTAACTTCTTAAAAAATTAATTTTTTATTTTTATAATTTAAATTCAATTAATTAACATATAGTATATTATTAGTTTCAGAGGTAGAGTTCAGTGATTCATCTACTGTAACTTTTTTTTTTTTTAAAGATTTTGTTTATTTGAGAGAGAGAGTGCATGAGCAGGGGTGAGGGAGAAGCAGAGGGAGAAGCAGGCTCGACAGGGGGCTCCATCCCAGGACCCTGGGATCATGACCTGAGCTGAAGACAGACGTTTAACCGGCTGAGCCACGCAGGTGCCCCTCATCTACTGTAACTTCTATCATAACTTTTTTGCTTGTTTCCTGCACTGTTTAGAGTAGCAGGTTCTGACATCTTGCAGTTTTGCAGTTAAGAGGCATGAAATTAATCCTATATTACTTATGTATGAGTTATCTGTTGCTGGGTGACCATGGTCCCACAAATATACCAGCTTAAAACAATACACAGTTTATTATTTCATGGTGTCTGTGGGTCAGGAGTGTTGGTACATCTTGGCTGGGTCCTCGGCTTAGAGTGTAACAAGGCTTCAGTCAAGTCTTGGCCCTGTACTTGGCTGGGGGAGGATTTACTTGTATGCTCACTCCGGTTGTTGGCAGAATCCTGTGCTTGAGGTTGGAAGACTGAGGGGTTCAATTTCTTGCTGGCTGTCAGCTGGAGAAGGCTGCACCATCAGTTCCCGCGGGCTGCGTGCTGCTCTCTGCCTCATGGCCGCTTGCCTTCTCAGTGTCCGTGAGGGAAAGAGGTTCCAGCAGGATGACTGCGACAGTTTTGTATTAGGACTCTCCAGAGAAGCAGAACCAATAGGATATATACATATATACCTATAAAGAAATTTATTATAAGGTATTGGCTCACACACTTATGTAGGTAGAGGAGTCTGATGATCTGTTGTCTGTAAGCTGGAAACCAGGAAAGATGGGGGTGTAGTTTGAAGGAATGATGGTGTAGATTCTAGTCCAAGTCTGAAGGCCAGACAACCAGGAGCATTGAGGACAGGAGAAGGTCGATATCCCAGCCCAGCAGTAGGGCAGAGTGAGTGAATCCAACCTTCCTCTGCCTTTTTGTTCTATTCAGGTCTTCATCGGTTGAATGGTGCCCACCCATGCTGGGGAGGGCCATCTTCTTTACTCAGTCCACCAGTTCAAATGCTAAGGTCTTCTAGAAACTCGTTTACAGACACATTCACAAATAATGTTTGATTAGCTACCTGGGCATCCTGTGGCCCACTCAAATCTTAAGTAATGTGACCACAGAATCACATGCACACAATCACATATGACCTGTCACCTTTGCTGTATTGTATTGGTTAAAGCAAATCACAGGTCCTACGACACTCAAGGGGAGAAGATCATACAAGGGGAAAAGATCCTACCAGGAGGTGGGGATCATGCCACAGATTGTTAGGACATATAAATAATAATTACCACAGGCATACGCTAAATAATAATACACTAAAATAAGCATAAAACTGTAACACGAATAAAAACTCCTAACATATATGACTTTGATCCCTCTCTTCACTCTCCCTTCCATTCCCAATTCTTTGACTCTAGATTATTTTTTATATCCCCAGCCTCAATTAAATTACATTCTCACTAAAAACATTCTTGGTTTCTTCTGCTTATTGCAGCCTTTACTCACCCATTCTTTTTCCTCTGTCAAAGAAGTATTTTCCCATGCTGTTTCTTGCATGTAGAAAACTTCCACATCACTGACTCCTGTCTTCTTCTCTACTATTTCATTTCTATTTCCTTCATGCCCACAGCTCTGCTCACAGGGTTATTGTCCGATGAAATCAGTCAATACGCCCAAAACAGTTGGCCCCGTGCTGGTCTCTGGGTGAACATTCTGTGAATCTTACTTCATGCCCACAGATTTAACTGGGTCCAGTTCCAAGAAGTTTTCCTTAATTAATTCCACACACCAGCACTTTCAAGTCATTGTTACTTTTTGGTGAGTTTGCTCACATTTTTATCATGTTACCTCTATTAGGATTTAAACTCCTTTAAAGGCAGGAACTCGATCTGAATATTTTTCTGGGCTCCATCCTCCAAATGATGAGTATGAAGTGATGCATACTACTCCAGTTACCTTAGCAGATAATTGTTTTTTTTTTTTATGTGGTAAAACATATATAACATTAAACCTACCACCTTAACCATCTTGAAGTGTACAATTAAGTAGTGTTAAGTATATTCACAGTGCTATGAAACAGATCTCCATAACTTTTTCCTCTTGCAAAACTAAAACTCTATACCCATTAAGCAGCAATTCCTTTCTTACTCTTCCCCTTGGCCCCTGGTAACCAACATTCACTTCTTGTTTCTGTGCATTTTACTACTTTAGATACCTCATGTAAGGGGGGTCATAGAGCATTTGTCTTTTTTGACTGGCTTATTTTGCTTAGCATGAGCCTCAAGGTTCATCCATGGTGTAGGAGGTGACAGGATTTGGTTTCTTTTTATGACTGAACATTCCACTGTATGGATATGCCACATTCTTTTCTTACATTCATCTGTCCACTGGCATTTGAGTTATTTCCACTCCTTGGCTACTGTGAATGCTGTTTCTGTGAACATGGGTGTGCAAATATCTTTGAGATCCTGCTTTCAGTTATTTAGATATATACCCAGAAGTGGGATTTCTGGATCATATGGTAGTTCCACTTTCAATTTTTTGAGCAACTGCCACACTGTTTTCTATAGTGGTTGGATAATTTGGGGCACCAGGGTGACTCGGTTGGTTGAGGGTCCGACTCTTGATTTCAGCTCAGGTTATGATCTCAGGGTCATGGGATCGAGCCCCACATCAGGCTCTGTGCTCAGTGAGGAGTCAGCTGGAGATTCTCTCTCTTCCTCTCCCTCTGCCCCTCTCCCTGCTCACACAAGCTCTTTCTCTAAATAAATAAATAAATAAAATCTTTAAAAAATTTATAGTGGTTGGATAATTAGTTTTTAATTATTCACTGTGATGAAATTTGGCATGCTCGAGCTTTTATAAATATATTTCAAGGGAATAACAAAGCTGGGGGCTTGGCTTTCTGATTTGTCTTTATTCTTATGTAATCCTAGAATATAGCTACTTTTCTTCTTCCTTAATACCTTTGTCTTTTTCCTATCAGTATATAAATATATATATATACTCCTGGTTCAGAATTTTAGCTTTAGAGATATGAGGAAATTTTTCTATGGATGTCTGATTAAGAAGAGGCTCAGGGGGATGCATATACTCCAAAAGGAAGTTTATTCCTTTCTCCCCATCAAGATATATTTATTAGTTCTGATCTAAGAGCTTAAATTAATGATCATATATGAGAGAACTCTTTTGGATCTTTTCTATTTGCTCCAAAAGTATATTGGTAAAAATTTATTGCTTCGCTAGCTGTACAATTTTTTCTAAAGGAAAATTAGTGTTTGTTCATTATTTTTGTCAAATGACTTTTGTCAAATTTGTAGTTTTCATGCATAAGTTAATATTGAAAATAAGCCCTGTGTACTTCACATGCTTCAGGTACATTATGATTTTGGTCTGCGGAACATTCTGTCAGTTCTGCGAACCTTGGGGGCGGCAAAAAGAGCCAACCCTTTGGATACGGAATCAACGATCGTCATGCGCGTACTCCGAGACATGAATCTTTCTAAACTGGTAAGATTCACAGATGGAAATGTTCCACCCTCTTAAATAGCAGTGAACTAAGCACAAATGAGATTTAGAAATATTTATTTAAAATACTCATTTAAAAATGCCTAATTATCAGCTAAAAGCGCTGGAAAGCATAACTTTAAATTAGACTTTTTTGGGAATTATTTTTTGCGGTAACTCATATCTAGTCTAACATATGCCTATTTCCATAGAATTGAAATGGATTTTTAAAAATCCATGTTAAGTTTCCAAATACCTTGAAATACTTTTGGGTTTTAGAGCTAAAATCTCACTTTCTTTAAAGTCTGTAGAGCCCAGCAGGAAATTATATGTAAATTTAACAAGTGTGTAATAATTTCACACTCTTTCATTTCACAGTAGAGACTGAAAATCAATTGTTCATTATCAGCAAATCTATGTACAGGGTGAGAGAATGATATATTTTTATTTTAAAATAAAAATGTGAGGCAAATTCCAATTCATGAATTTGTTACTATCTCTTATTTAAATTATTATTTTCTTAAATTTAAATTAGAAATTGTAGGTTATGTCGTAACTCCCCAAACTGGTTATTTTATGGGGAGGTTGTTCTGTAGGCAGTATTTTTCCTTTCATCTGCTTCCTTCCATTTTCCTCTTCTTCTTCCCATTCCTCTCCCCCTTTTCTAAAAATAATTTTTAACTTACGGGTAACATGAGGAAAATATTCCTCAACTTCGGTGAAGGTGGTATTTTATTTATTAACAGTTATGATAAAATAATTTGGTATGTCAGCATTTTCAGTTTATCCGTACATTGCTATGATCGTGCCAAAGTAGTTGGTCTGGTTTCCCTTTCTTTTCTCTTTTAGATTGATGAGGATGAACCCTTATTTTTGAGTTTGATTGAAGATCTCTTCCCAAATATTCTTCTGGACAAGGCAGGTTACCCTGAACTGGAAATGGCGATCAGTAGACAGGTAATATTTTTCTCAGGGCATCCAGTACTATGTCTCTCTCATCGGAATTTCATGGGAGTCAAGTGGCGCTGATGTATTCCAAATCTGTGGTTCCAAGGACAGCACCCAGGGCTGTGGCCCGTGTTTTAGGAGAGGCTGTTGAACACCTCGAGCTCCTCGAGCCAGGGGAGTCTCCTACCATCTTGCAGCCACATGTCTAGTTGGCCATGTGCTCAGGGTCCCATTATTGATGGAAACCATTCCACACCAGATTCTGAAATGAAATATAATAAGTGAACGGGATGAGTGGGGCTCAGCTGGCTGCCTTGCCTTTCTTGGCTTGGCTTTGACTGTGATCCTGGTGTTTCCATGTTGCTTTGATCTCTGGATTCCTGCCCCCGAGTGTCATTCACAATGATCTCATGAGGCTCCTCACTTGTCATTCTTTTCCCCCAGGCCCAGGATCACTTGTGATTTCTTCCTGGGCCTCTGGGGGATCTACCACATTATGTGTATTATTAGGTGTCTGGATTTCCCATGACACTTGGTAGAGCTTTACTTTTTTATAGTTTTCCTAGGAATGAAAATGAACCATGTAAAGCTTGTGCCTCAGTTTCTTTTCCTACAAGGAAGAGTTTGGAAAAAAAATTTTATAGAAGTGGCGATAAGCTCATATTTATAAAATACATTTTAATTCTTTGAAGATATTTGTTAACAAAAATCAAATATGGTAGTATTTAATGGATCTTTTCCTTTTAAAAATCAGTATATAAAAATCTTAATCTCCAGAGCACATGGGTGGCTCAGTTGGTTAAGCGTCTGACTCTTGACTTTGGCTTAGGTTGTGATCTCAGGGTCCTGAAATGGAGCCCTGCTGGGCCTGTGCTCAGGAGGAGTCTGCTTGAGATTCTTTCTTTCCTTCTCCCTCTGCCAGCCCCTAAAATAAAGAAATAAAATCTTAAAAAAAATCTTAATCTCCTGATCAGGTAAGAGTGATAATTCATTTTGCAAATGGTTTCTTCATCATATGGCTGAATTAATTGTAGCATTGTCTAAAAAACTTAGTATAAAGTCATTTATAGGGTGACTAACAGCATAATTTGTAGCATATGAAAAATCTGAAGAGCATAGATATATAGCATAAAATGATACATGATTATTATCCAACAATTATTTAAGTAAAAGTAAAAGCATCATTTATAGCGTGTTTAAGCATAGCATGACAGTTAAGAGCACAGACCATGGAGCTGAGTTTCCTGGGCTCACATCCCCACTCTGTAACTTGATAAGTAATAATCTTGGGGAGGGCACCTGGGTGGCTCAGTCGTTAAGCATCTGCCTTCAGCTTAGGTCATGATCCCAGGGTCCTGGGATCGAGTCCCACATCGGGCTCCCTGTTCGGCGGGAAGCCTGCTTCTCCCTCTCGCACTCCCCCTGCTTGTGTTCCTGCTCTCGCTGTCTCTCTCTCTGTCAAATAAATAAATAAAATCTTTAAAAAAAAAAAAATCTTGGGGAAATTGCTTGGTTCTCTGTGCCTCAGTTTCCTTTTCTATAAAAGAAAGATATCAATAGGGCTAATCTTATAGTGTTGTTATGAATATTGAACTTAGAATAGTGTTTGGCAGGATAACTTTCATGCATGTGTTCGACAGATTAAAACTACCCAGTAGATTTATAGACAGTTTGAGTTTTCTATGGAATTTCTGTCAACTTGGTGTGCTACAAAGTTTTCCAGTTACTAAATATCACATTTTAAATTAAAGATTTAAAATGCCTTTCTTTATTCTTAAGTTGTTCCTATGACATATATTCAAGGATATATTAATATAAATGTATTCAATTCCCAAAGGCAAATGCAGATGTTTCTTATTGGCTTGGGATAACATTTTGAATAGTCAACCTGCTTTTTGTCTTTGTATGTATATATTTTTTTATGCAATATATATATTTAAAAATTTTCTATTTTAAGTAAACTCCATGCCACACGTGGGCCTTGAACTGACAAACCTGAGATCAAGAGTTGCACTGACTGAGCTTGCCAGGCACCCCAGCAATATATTTTTTATTTTGGTAAAATCCGTAACATAAAATTTACCATTTAACCATTTTTAAGTGTACTGTTCCATGACATTAAGTACATTCACATTATTTTGCAAAACATCATCACCATCCATCTTCAGAACTTTTTTCGCCTTTCCAAACTGAAACTCCACGCCCATTAAACAATAACTCCCATTCCTCTACTCCCTGCTCAATGTCTGTGCTTATTTTGAGCACAACGGTAAGTTCCGATTGCTGTTGATATGGCCCATTGTGGGGCTTTTATGCTTTCAGGTTGAAGAATCTGGTTTAATCAACCATCCTCCTTGGAAACTCAAAGTCATCCAGCTGTTTGAGACACAGAGAGTGCGGCATGGGATGATGACCCTGGGGCCCAGTGGAGCAGGGAAAACCACCTGCATCCACACCTTGATGAGAGCCATGGCAGGTAAGGGGGCGCCCAAGCTGTGTTGCTCTGGGCAACACATTTAAGTAGCTGTGACCCATTTGAATACTCCAAGAGGAACATAAAAGTTAGATACATTAATATATTTGTATAGGAAGGAATGCTGCTTTACTGATTATTGGGTTCATTTCAGCGATAATATATTATAATAATGAACTAGAAGGGAAAAAATTTTTCAGCTATTGAGATATAATTGACATATGACATTGTGTTTAATGTGTACAGTGTATTGATGTGCAACATTTGTATGTTGCAAAATAATTAACACCATGAACTTTGACCCCCATCTTGTCACATAGTACCATTTCTTTTTTTGTGGTGAGAACATTTAAGATCTACTCTTCTAGCAACATTCAAGTTTATGATACAGTATAATTAGCTATAATCACTCTACTATATATATATATAGTATGCTATAATGTACATTCGATCCCCAAACTCATTAATCCTTTAGCTAGAAGTTTGTACCCTTTGCCCAATATCTCCCCATTTCCCTACACCTCAACCCCTAGTAACCACCATTCTACAATCTGTTTCTCAGAGTTTGATTTTTTTAGATTCCATATATAAGTGATACCACACAGTATTTGTCTTTCCCTGTCGGACTTAATTCATTTAGCATGATGTTCTCAAGGTCCATCCATGTCATTGTAAATGGCAGGATGTCCTTCTTGCTCATGGCTGAATAATAAATATATATACATGTAAAATATATATATTTATATGTATACACACACACACCACATTTTCTTAATCCATTCATCTATTAATGAACATTTAAATTGTTTCCATATCTTGGCTTCTGGGAACAATGCTGAGTGAAAAAATTCCTGAACAGTGACTTTGTATATTGTGTTATACGTTTTACTTATGTCATTAAATTTTCACAATGATCTTGAGATGTGGCTATTACCATCCCCATTTTGTACAAAAATTCAAGGCTCAAATTCAGAAATGCTACGGGTTGCAAAGATGGTAAGTGATAGGATTCAGAATTATAGGATTCTCGAATTATAGATAGGATTCAGAATGTCAGGGTCCACTAATGAAAAGCCCAGACTTTTTCCATTATAACATGCCACTACCCAATAATGACTTAATATAACCTCCCAGTACAGAAAAAAATATTTCAATTTCAGTTCCTAAAATCATCCTAATCACAAACTAATTTCCCACCTAGAATCAGATGTTTTTCTGGTGAAGTTAAATAACTGTATTTAATTTCCAGATCTCCCTAAGCCTTACAGCTAAGTCCCTATCTAGCCCGAGGTCATCTAAAGATAATAGGCATTGTCACATTTGTGATTATTCTTATATTTCCTGATTGGACATTGATGTCTGTCATACTGAAGGTACTGTGTAGGCAGCTCTTGGCCATGGCAGATTTGAGTCCCAAAATTTCACAGAACTCTACCTATTGGAATTCAAATACATGGTCCCATAGGGAGAAGGTGCCTAGTTGGTTTTCCAGTCAGCTCATGCAGACCCAGTGCACTGATCTTGAGTTGGTGGTTGTGGAGATTGCTCTGTATTGCTCTAGGGTCCTGCACATGTTGGATTTAGCTGGATACCTATATCCGCAGCGATGGGGCCCAGTAAATTCTGTACATTAAGTCCACCAGGGAGTCTCCACACTAAGAAAGAACTGTGCTCTCAGCTATCACTTACCTTGCCAAAACTGAGAGCTCACACCTGCAAAAGACTTATCATGTGCTTTCCACGTGCTGTTAAGTTTGTGTTTGGGGATTTTTATAGAGCTTTAAAATGATCTGTTCTCTCAAATCATGCTTAATAATACTTTTGTTATTATTATGTAGCTGCCTTCTGTTAACAATAAACTACAAATGCACCTGGTACAATGACTTGAACAAAATGAGTACTAAATATTAAACGATAATGATACATTATGTATAATATGTCTAAATTATATAACCCATATGGCATCACTGGTTTTGGAGAAGTTCTTTGCAAAGATGAATTAATCATTAGTTGTTGATTAACCTGTTTTTGGTTTTAATGTATAGGGCAAATATTTGTTATTTTAAGCAACACATTGTTTCTTGCTGAAAATATTCATTCTCCCAAAGATTGAGAAGGTAATTGAGTTGAACTTATACTAGACCCATATATATTTGTGTCCTTATTCATCATGTATTTGTTTATCAAATATCTCTAGTATTCTGTAGTTTGAGGCCCTGCTAGGTTCGGTAGCTTAAATGGGAAGGCAGGCATGAAAACAAAAGGCTGTGTCTTCAAGGAGCTTACGGTTTGGTGGAGTAACAGTTATTAGTCAACACGGAATTGCTATGAGGAGGTTTGGACAATTATGTTGTGAGCAGAGGCAAAGGAGATGAGAGACCTTTCTAAAGAATTATAGGAAGGCTTACAGAGCAGGTGCTGCTTCAGCTGAGGGTTGGGGGTTGAGTAGCTGTTGGAGAAAAGGCATTCTTAGCAGAATGAAGAGCCTGGGCAGGTAGGAGGGACTGGAGAGAGCATGGCATACCCAGAAATTGCTTTGGTATGGATAAATGTGCTCTGCGTGTGGGTGGGAGTAGGGGAGAGGAGGAGGTGTAGCATGTGCTACTGGCCCCCAGCGCTTCATCCCTTTGGCCCTTCCCCTTTGGACAGCTTCTCCCACAGATGCCAGTACTGTCTCCTAGTTTTTCAGCATTATGACTTTCCTAGAATCTAGGGAACTCCTGGCTCAGCCTGAAAGAGGGTGGGAATTAATGCCCCTGAGGCAGCCATAGCCTCAACTAGTGGGGCGAAGCGTTGAAGGCAAGTGTCCCATCTCCTGTTGTCCATTAGAGGGATACTACCTCTGGGGCCACTTCACAAATGAGCCCATTTTGGGGATTCTCTCCTTTTCTGTCTCACTGTCTCTTTGCCCTGACTCCAAACTCCCAGTACCCACATCTTTGTTTGAGGCTTTGCTTTTAGGGGGGAATTTAGGTATGGCATGAGGAGCTTTATAAGTTATGCTGAATACCTAGGTTTTATTCTGTAGGTGATGGGAAGCCCTTGAGCTGGGGAGGGGTATGGTCAACCTTCTGTGGGTGAAGGCCACCTGGCGGCCATGTAGAGAATAGACCATGGACAGGAGGGGTGGTCTGGAGTCCATAAGGAGGCAACAGCAAGAAAGGATGCCTACTCTAGGGCATAGTCCATGAAGGTGGAGTGATCAGGACAGTCAAGAAATGCCTAGGAGGAGAGGAGGAATTAGTTTAACCAACATTTTGAAAGTCAAGCATTTTTTTCTTGGAGTGCTCTTATAACAATGTTTTGGTATTTCTTTCTTTTTTTTTTTTTTGGCATAATTAAAAAATTTTATTATTGAAGTATAGTTGGCATACGATATTATTTAAGTTTCCGGTGTATAACATATTGATTCAATAATTCTATACAAAAATATTATGGTATTTTAAATTAAAATAATGCAGTTCTACCTACTACCATAATGAAATAATTTTTGACAGTTTTTCTTATATGGGCAACAGACAAAGTCCAGTTTTTACCTATGATACTGTCATATTGTTTGAGAGTAGGCTGGCCTTTTGTAAAGTGTGTTAGGTAAAAAAATAATTTTGCCCGTCAGCTCTGAAAAAGCTGAATTGTGACTCAGTTTAACTTCAGCATCATAAAGTATTAAAGATAATTACCCTGAGTTTTTTTGTGATTTAAAAAAGGAGACCTAAAGGGGTGTCTGGGTGGCTCAGTCAGTTAAGCATCTTCCTTGGGCTCAGGTCATGATCCCAGGGTCCTGGGATGGAGCCCCACATTGGCTCCTTGCTCAGCGGGGAGCCTGCTTCTCCCTCTTCCTCTGCCTCACCCCCTGCTTGTGCATGTGCTCTCTCTCAGTCAAATTAATAAATAATAAATAAATAATAATCTTTAAAAAAATAGTAAATAATCTTTTAAAAAATAAAAAAAGGAGAACTATGGTCTAATTTTCTAAATAAGTTTTAATATTTTTTAAAGATTTATCTGTTTATTTAAGAGAGGGAGAGAGAGAGCGCGAGAAAGTGAGCACAGGCTTGCCGGGCAGGGGGCAGGGGGCAGGGGTCGAGGGAGGGGCAGAGGGCGAGGGAGAGAAGCATACTCCCCACTGAGTGGGGAAACCCCACTGAACTGACGTGGGACTTGATCTCATGACCCTGAGATCATGACCTGACCTGAAATCAAGAGTTGAACACTTCACTGACTGAGCCACGCAGCTGCCCTGGTTTTGATGGGTTTTAACATGTTTTTCGATGGGCGTAGTTATGTATGCTTGCCTGTGTTTGTCAATCTTTCACACAATATGTAATATTTTAGCATCTATTTTTATGATTTTATACTTTAAATCTTATTCTTCACCTTTCTGCTTATTAACTGCTTATGTACAGAATCTGGCCCCTTTAAGAGTAGTTTTAGGGTTTGAAGGATTCAAAGACCTTTTTTTTGAGGTTGGCCACAAAAGAAAAGTCCTTGATTCTTGCAGCATTAGTTTAGCTTACTTTCCAAATGAGCAAGAACACATCTCAGTGAATTGAAGCCGGTTATGGAGAGAATGAGGCATCTTCTGGGTGACACTTCAGAGACCAGACTTAATCTGGTATACTGTAAATCAAAAGATTTTTGAGCTGTGAAATTTAAAGAACTTCCAAGTTATATTAATTTGTTCATCAATACCAACATGGTATCTTCCCCCCCCTTTATGTTTCCTTTTACAGAAGGATAAAAACAAAAGTATGTTAGTCCATAAAATATAGCATTGTTAATTATGATAACTTGGAATGCAGTAAGACATATATTCTCAGTATAATTTTGTGTTTTTTCATATTTTGAACACCTGCCGATGGTACATTGCAAATTAGTTCAATGTTACCTAATGATGGTTCACTCTACATCTGAGTCATTTAAAATTTGGATTTACTTGGTACAGATTGTGGAAAGCCACACCGGGAACTGAGGATGAATCCCAAAGCGATTACGGCCCCACAGATGTTTGGTCGGCTTGACGTGGCCACAAACGACTGGACTGATGGGATATTTTCAACCCTTTGGAGGAAAACACTGAGGGCCAAGAAAGGTAGAAGATGAAGTATTATTCTTGACATGTCCTTCTAAATAAAATCCTTGGTGCCTATTTAGAATTAGTAGAACATATTCTCCATATAATATCTTAGCCAAGATTAAGAAGTCCTAAATCAGTATATTTGTCATGTTGAAATACTGAAATTATTGATTAGGGTATTTAAAATCCCCCCCTCCCACCTTTCTTCTTTGTTGTTGTTACAAAGAAATTATTTTCCTTTTGAATAAATATTTCTGTATCCCTGTGATATCTTAGAATAAAAGAGAAAGAAAAAGCTGTTACGGAGAATTGATAGTGTTAAATAAAGTGATTTTACTATAACTATTTCACTGAATCTTTTAAAAATGTTACTTTAATTAAGTACAGCCTATTTTTGGAAAACTGATTCTCCTATAAAATCACAGGAGGAAATAGGCTTCTTTGGGAAGAAAATTACATATGTCAAAAATGAAGTTTATATTGAACTAAGAAATTATTCTGTTTAGGTATACATTGGTGTTTGGTTGTCCTGTGAACAAACTTGTTAAGGGCTAGTGGTTCACTCTGAATATTCTCTTACTTACGGAGTCTGGAAATTGAACCCGGTGTTCCTGGAATATAAGCTTGGATGGAAGAGGTGATATTAACTCTCCTCTCATCATGTTTTCTCACTCCTGAATAAGGAGGAGAAAGGCACAGTGAATGCATTTGCAGAGAGAAAGAAGGATCCAGGAGAAGGACAGATATTTGGGCTATTTCTTCAGGAGTCTCTGCTTTGGAATAGTTTCTACCAATAAATGTTTAAAAGCTGGTGCCATCCCAGTTCTCAGTTAGGGAATGGAGCTCATCAACCTAAAAATCAGTTGTCAAAAGAGACATGAAAACATGGGATTTCAAAAGTGTGTTCATATTTGGAATTATTGTTTTATTGGATATAAATCAAATTTTGTTTCTGACCTTGTTTCAATAATCCTGTGTAAACAGATCCGGTGCCCAGTGCTCCCAAGAATGGGAGCTCAGAGAGGTGTTTTTTTTCCTCCTTAAAGAAGGCAACATGCTTTTTCTAAGGGACTCTGGTGTTTAGATCATTTTACTTAAAATCAAGTCAAATGAGCATAATTAAGATTTTCAAAGCAGTTGACTGGACATAGAATATATTACAGGGGTTACACAGTAAATAAAAACTACAGTTACAAACTTGGTCATGGTGTCAGTAAAGAGAAACTAGAGATTAGGAGATTAAGAGGAACTATTAAACCAAATACCTAAGTTTATGATGGCATTGTGGTTGACCATTCCGTGGATGCTTGTCACTTTCTTTACTTCCAGATATCTCCGTAAGTGACTCCCAGCAGGTTTTGTCCCCGGTGGTCCTCCAAAACTACTCTTTTAAGGACACTCATGACCTCCAGCTTGCCAGATATAAATTGTCAGTTCTCAGGCTAGTCCGGCTGTCATGGGATCTTGGCACGGTCGATCACCCCCCTTCTCGGAACTCTTCCATCACTTGGCTTCAGGGAAACTTTACCTGTTGGCTCTCCTTCTACCTCTGCCTCATGGGGGGTCTGCCAGAGGGAGGAGCCAGCAAAGGAGACACTACTAGAAGTCTGACCATCAAAGTGACTCTGTCCTCAGACCTCCTGTTTCTACTTTTACTATCTAGAAGAAACATACCCAGTCCATGGTTTTAAATGCCATCTCTAAGCTGGTGGCTTCTACATGTTAATCTTCAACCCTGACCTCTCCCTTGAACCTCCAGCTCAACAACACTGTGGGATGTCTGTGGGACATCTCAGATGTAAGATGTGCAAGCCAGAGTTGATTCTGTGGTTCTTTCTGGCTGTCCTTCTGACTGTACTCACATTCTTCTCCTCCTTCTCTTCTTATTTACTAGGTTCAACTTCTTGCTCTTCCTGGGACACCCTATGCTTGTACTCACTTTGAGACCTTTGCACTTGCTATTCCTACTGCCTGGAAGACTTTACCTCTAGATCTTTACATCTCTTCATTCTCCTGAAATATATTACTGACTACCTTATCCAAAGCAATGCCCCATCATCTTATTCTTCTTAATTTTTCTTATCTTGGATATTTCTTTGCTTATGGTTTGATTGATTATCATCTCTACCCTTTAGAGTGTAAGGTCTGTGAAAGCAGGAATTGTCTTATTTACCACAAAATCCCCAGACTCTAGAACAGTGCTGATACATAGAAAGTGCTCAATGAATATTTGTTCAATGAAAAATGACTTTTTACTTTATGTGCTTTAAACAACTGGTATATAAAGAACTGGAAAAGTCCTATGTGATAAAAATAATCATTTCTATCAAAGTTTAATGAAAATCACATCAAGTTATAGTACTTCTGCAAGTATAGTAGTTATGTGTCTATGTATATATGTGTACGTATGCTTTTCCCCCCACCTTTGGTGGAATATTTTAGGTGAACATATCTGGATAGTTCTTGATGGTCCAGTAGATGCTATTTGGATTGAAAATCTGAATTCTGTTTTGGATGATAACAAAACTCTAACTCTTGCCAATGGCGATCGGATTCCCATGGCTCCAAACTGCAAGATCATTTTTGAACCCCATAACATTGAAAACGCTTCACCTGCTACTGTCTCAAGAAATGGAATGGTTTTCATGAGTTCTTCTATCCTTGATTGGAGTCCTATTCTCGAGGTATGAGTGGAGTCTTTCTTTTGTGCACTGAAGGAGGAACTGGTCTTTAGCATTCCTGTAGAGCGCCTGTTGATTTTTCTGCAGACCTTTGGTGTCATTGCATTTGATCGCGACTGTTTAAGGCCACTCCTTGCCTGCTCTGGGATGTTGGAACCCTGATTGTCCCTTACAGGTTCCTTCAGCGTTCTGGTGTCTGTAGGGCTCCTCTCATCTCTTTAGACCTGTGATTTCCACTGTGGGTTGTGGGGTAGTTGCCAGGCCTCACTGAATCAATAATCCCACCAAACTGTGAATAAGTAAAATTTAATTTGATCACTTTGGAAATTCATGACATTTTAAAAAGGTACTCAGTCATGTAAAGTTTGGGAGCAATCATCTTAGAATATCAGCTTTAAGAAAACAATTTATTAAAATTCCATCTAAGGGAAAAATTGCATATAAGGAATTTTTATGAGATTCAGTAGTCATTAGTTTTATGTTCGTTCTTGGAAATAATATTTCAGATAATATCTCCAGTTCATGAAAAGGTATATTATTTTCTTATCACCAATACATTCTAGAATATATTGATTATAATCAGATTATAGTTAAATGCCTTGTATACATAGATATTTTACTAAATAAATGCTATAAGGCAAAATGCTTATTAGATAAGCCAGGTGTGAAATCTTTTTTGACATTGTTGGTCAAATTTATTATTTTATTTACATAATTTTTTGGAGATCATTTTGATTGAAAACTTATAAAATCATAATTTTTAAAAAAGATTTATTTATTTGAGAGAGAGCAAGAGAGAGAGAGATAGCAAGCACAAGAGAGCACACAAGCGGGGGAACAGCGGGCAGAGGGAGAAGCAGGCTTCCCGCTGAGCAGGGAGCCCGATGCAGGGCTTGAACCCAGGACCCTGAGATCATGACCTGAGCCGAAGGCAGACGCTTAACCAAATGAGCCACCCAGGTGCCCCCTAAAATCATAATTTAAATTAAGTAGGTGTTTACTTTGTATTGTCATAATTTTTGTGCTTCTCTTTCTCTATGAATATATCCTAACTTTTAATAATATCTTCTCAGAATTTACAGAAACCTGGGTTGAAAAAGGGTTTAGGTTTGGTAAAATGTGAAGATACGAAAAAAGAGGGGATTATATGGCAAAATGATACTTACATATAATTGGATATGTCACTAAATATGCTTCTAAAGATTTCAGATTTCTCAGTCAAATTATCCATCCATTAAAGAGAATACAGGGCAAGGGTTCTGAGCACTGGCTTTGCAAGAATAATCATCAATGACAGTTCTTTAAAATACAGATGATGGGGTCATACCCCAATCCTTCCAAATTAGAATCTCTGGGCCGGGGGTGAGGGGGTAAGATTCAGAAGTTGGTTTTTGTTTTTGCTTTTGTTTTTAGAAGTACCACAATAGGTCCAGATTTGGTAACTACAGATACAGCGGCAAGCTCCAAGTAAAAAAGTATTTCTGTGATTTTCCCCAAATGCTTCACATTCACAAAGGCTTTTAAAAAATACTTCTACACGACTAGCTAATGAATATTTAGACTTTGCTATTTATGAAATAAGCTTCTATTATGTTCTATGTTGAGGATGAATAAGGTTCTCACATTAATGCTACACTTACCTAATTTTATTTTGTTAAAGTAGGCTCCATACCCAGCATGGAGCCCAATATGGGGCTTGAGCTCACGTCTGTGAGATCAAGACCTGAGCTGTGATCAACAGTCGGACGCTCAACCGACTGAGCCACCCAGGCGCCCCTTACCTAATTTTTTTATATGCTTTTAAATATGCAGTTTCTTCTCACGAATCGTTAGCAAGACTCACAAAGAATCAGACTGGGAGTGTTGAGAGCAGTACAAGGCAACTCTAGGGAGTTACTAGAGGCAGACGGGTGGAGAAACTGTGTTCACTGGTATCCTGGGAGCCAAGCTGATTAATTGGCCCTGTGTATGACAGTCTTTTTGATTCCATCAACTCAAAAGGGCTATGTTCTGTTTTTGTTGCTGTGGCACCCTGGTAAATTCATGAATTGATGAATAATTTGGAATCAACATTTTATTGCTTCTGTTCAGTGTCTAAGAATGAGCTGATCCCTTGAGGCTGAGGGAACTTGCGTCAGCTTTAGAGAATAGTGTGTGTTAGTGGTATTTTGTTAGAGATCACATGCACTTTTCTAAAGTGGGTTCCCCAAATTACTAAATTCCCCATTTTCTGGGGTGTTCTTTGATATTTTTTGACATTGGTTATTAATTAAATTAGAAGAAATAAAAGGAAACAACTAACTTGATAAATCTTTTATCCCATTTAAAACAATGTGGGTATGGATTTCCTTTGTTCATCTTTTATTCCTTTTTCTTTTCCTAAATTATTTCTCTATATATGCCTCCTCATTTTCTTCTAGTATGTTTTAATTAAGAGCTTAAGACTTTTTTTCCATCTTGGCTTCAAGACCTGAGCACATGTATAGGGTGGTGATAGAACATGTGCATTTGAATTCTGTCCTTGGCACTCACCAGCTGTGGGATCCTGGGCACATTACTTCCACCGTTTGGGCCTTGGTTTTCCCATCTGTAAAAGGAAGATAATAATAACTCCTACCTCATAGTGTTATTTTGAGCATTACATGAATTAATGCATGGAAGCCCGGTTAGTAAGGCCTGGCACATCCTATATGCAGTATTATCATTAATTAATATTTAAAAAATTTTTGTCCCAAAATGGCCATTCTCCTGGTGTGCTAGTAAACTTATTAATGCATTAATCTGTAAATGAACAGGGTTTCCTTAAGAAACGCTCGCCTCAAGAAGCTGAAATTCTTCGTCAGCTCTACAGCAAGTCTTTTCCTGACCTGTATCGCTTCAGTATCCAGAACTTAGAATACAAGATGGAGATGCTTGAGGCTTTTGTAATCATGCAGAGCATTAACATGCTTCAAGGGCTGATCCCTCCAAAGGTAAATTGCTCAAATTTCTAGAAATTTCTCTTATTAACAGAGCCATGTTGTGCAGAGAGTACAATATTTGAAATTGGTTCTGTTAGGCCTATGGTTGGGGTGGGGGATGTTTTAAACGTGCACATGCATCTTTTGCATTTTTCTCATTTCTGTTTTCACCAAGGAAGCCATCGGTTTATAATTTAGTGGCAAGTTCACTGTCATCTAATAAGCATCCAGATTTATTTTGGAGACCAGCTTGGTATTCCTCGAGATCAATTGTGTATTTTTTCCCAGTTTCATTCATCTTTCCCTTGTTCTTGTCTTGGGGAAAACTGTTGTCCCTTTCACATCTTTGTTATTTTCATTGAAACCTCCAAGTAAAATGTCAGTTCGAGAAGCAAGCATTGAAACAGCAAGTTTCTTTTGTGCTCAGGAGCAAGGTGTGGAGGTCACACCAGAGCACCTGGGGAGACTGTACGTCTTCTCCCTGATGTGGAGCGTCGGTGCCCTGCTCGAACTGGAGGGCCGACGCCGGCTGGAGCACTGGCTGTGTTCTCAGGAAGCCTTGACCTTGGATTTGCCGCCTCTGGAGGGGACGGAGGACACCATGTTTGACTATTACGTCTCGTCCACTGGTGAGGATCCTTGCTTCCATGGACTCATACACAACACATGGGAACAGTTTTTTTCCACTGGCCAATATTTACATAAATTTTATTTTTTCTAAATGGTAATTAAAACACTTGGCTGTAAAATTGAAATGGAAATTTTCATGTGTGAAGAAACCTAATTGTTTCTTTTTCGAAATTTTATTTCATTTGTGTTCCAAAAGCACATCTTCCCCTTGTTAAGTATATTGTTTACTGAACTTTTAATGAATTAAAAACAAAGTAGGGGGACACCTGGGTGGCTTAGTCAGTTAAGCATATGACTCTTGATTTCAGCTCAGTGGGAAGTCTGCTTGAGGATTCTCTCTCTCCATCTCCCTCTGCCCTACCCCCCCCACTTGTGCACTCTCTCTCTTTCTAAAATAAATAAATCAATCTAAAAATAAAAATTAGAGAAAAATCTCCAAATCAGATCTGTTTCAGCCATTTATATAATCAGGAATTTACATAAAAATTACAAAGTGTGAAGTATATTTTTACCAAATACGTGTTTATCTATACATTTGTATCTATCTATATATACCTCAAGTTTATTTATATGTGCATACATATATGTATAAAGTATATACAAAGTATATATATATACAATATTTATATCTTTTATTTTTGATTTATAATTAAGGAAGTGTGTAATGAAAAGCTTGTGATATTAGATATTTTAAATGGTCTTAGGTACATACTACTATCACTGTATTCTTAACTTTTATACAGACATAATTGAAAACTGACATATTTAAAAAGAAAATTCCAGGATTCTTCTTCATATTTCCTAATAATAACACTTTGGAATTGTTCCTTGGGAAATTTTGACTCGGCTAACACATACTTAAATAGTACTTAGATCTGTGGTTCTAATGATCTTCATTTTATGGGGAGTTTTTGAAAGATGGCTTCATGAGATGTCAAGGACGTGTGGTTGTTCCGGTCAGGACTTCAGTTATTTATGGGCATGTGAGATTGTACATGTTCTCTGTTCGTCTCAGGTGAATGGAGGCACTGGACCACGTGCACTGTGGAATATGTGTATCCATCTGACATCACCCCAGAATATGGCTCCATCCTGGTGCCAAATGTTGACAACGTGAGGACTGACTTTCTAATTAAAACCATCGCCAAACAGGGCAAGGTGTGGCTCTTTGACTTTTATTGACAATAGCATATTTTAAAATGTCGCTTGAAAACACAAGGCATCTTGCATTTATCTTAGTATGTTTTGGGTTGCTGTTTCGAGTAAATGAAAGTATTACCCAAATTAATATGCTTCTTTTATTATTCTCGAGTAACAGTGTTAAGAGTTGAATAGTTCCAGTGCATGATCAAGTAATTATTTCTCACACAGTAGTTGAGAGAAAGTGAACTTGGACTTGTTTGTCCAAAGAGAAATCCTCCTCTTCCGATGGCTGTGTTAGTTTGCTGGGGCCGCCGTAACAAATCACCACAGACTGAGTGGTTTAAACAGCAGACATTTCTTTCCCTCCAGTTCTGGAGGCTTGGAGTCCACGATGAAGGTGTTGGCAGGTTTGATTGCCTGTGGTCTCTGTCCTTGGCTTGCAGGTGGCTGCCTTCTCACCGTGTCCCCCCATACTCTTTATGCCTGTGACTCCATCCCTGCTGTTCCTTTGTGTACGTGTATCCAGATTTCGTCCTCTTACATGAATACCAGTAAGATTGAACTAGGGCCCACCCAAATGGCCTCATTTTCACCTGATCATCATCTCTCTAAAGATCCTATCTCCAGATACAGTCACATTCTCAAGTACTGGGTGTTAGAGCCTCAACATGTGAATTTTCGACTTGGGGGTGGGGGGCACACTATTGAGCTCATGCTCATTGTATTGCATTCCTTGGATTTCTTTCTCAATGTCTCTCTTAGGCTGTGCTGCTGATTGGTGAGCAAGGAACAGCTAAAACAGTCATTATCAAAGGATTTATGTCAAAATACGATTCTGAAAGTCACATGATCAAGAGTTTGAATTTTTCTTCTGCAACCACCCCACTGATGTTTCAGGTACTGGCTCTTTGTTATGGTTCGTTAAGACCAAGTTTGTGATCAGCTTTGGTGGCTCAGCTCTCTTCACTATTCTGCCTGTGCCCATGAGCTTCGTCTGCACTTTCCCATCCATGAGTGTACCTGCCATTATTCTCCTGCAGTAGAATCTCTCCCTAGTTGGATTATACTATATAACCTTAAATGGTGGAGCAATAAAAAGCTTATACTGGGTGTTAAAAGCCTCAGTAGTGTTAAAAATATCTAGCAAAGCCTGCGAACATGTAAAATCCCAAACTGACAGGGGTATCATTTATTCTTGCATCCAAACCTGCCTGCTGTCCCTACCATCTGCTTTTCTGTGGGGGTTAGTATTTTTCTAGGCTTTAGGCTAGACACATGGGTCATCTTCGATGGGTCTCTCTTGAATCGAGGGCTGTTAGTGTCGCTAAAGAAATCGTTTTCACATCTCCTTCTTTCTCTTTGTTCTCCCTGTCCACCTCTGCCTAATTGACATTTTCAGGATCCACACCAGGGTATTAGCCTAGAAAGACCCCCAGCTGGTCCAGTCTAATTCTCTTCCAGTCTTGCTTTCATTCCTCTTCCAGTCTCTGGTTCTGATATTGCCAATTTATCTTCTTGTTCCCTGACTGAACATTCCACAATGACTCCTATCAGCAATTGCAGGAATAAATCTTAGAGCTAGCACATTGAAGATTTTACTCTATCATATCATTGGGGAGTAACAACAACAACAACAACAACAAAATCCCGCAAATTTGCTCTGATTTTGTCAGTGGAACTGCCAACAATGACCTGGGTTTGCAGTGGTGGGCTGGTTGTTTGCTCTTGTTCCTAAGTTGTCTAAGACGCTGTTGACACTGGGGAGGGAATCCTGTGTGTCCCCTCATGCTTCAGTTGTTTTCAAGTCACCTCTCATATCTGCTAGAACATTAACACATTAATAAAAAGGACGCATTTCATACATTGAAAATGGAAGGGAAATTTTTAGGAGAATCCCAACCCAAAGAACTTTGCTCTTGATTAACTTTGTTGTTCTTTAGCTGTTGGAATGAAAATATCAAAGAGCAATGAAAATAGTTGACAGCATGGCTACACCGTGACTTCATATCACTTAATGTAATTGGTGACTGCAGAGTGCCAATAAGCTAAGACCATTGACTGAGTTTCTAAATAAGACTGTCAGCTACATTGTGCTCCTCTGTTAGAGATGGAATTTCCAATACTGGCTAGCCTTCTATCAAACGAACGCCATTGACAGTGTGGTGATGCGAAGGAAGGTGTAAATGGAAGGTCAACCTCAAATTGCAGACACTCAGCTGTGGTATTTTTGTGTTTGGGGGAGAGCACCTTAAATTATCCTAAGCTGTCAGGATGCTAACATTTTACACATTCCTTTGTTACCAGCATTAGCCACATTCCTTTGATACTGTTTCACATTTAAAGAACTTTTGTTAGTTTTACTCTAGGAGAACATCCTCTTAAAGGTTATAATTTTAACTTTATTGGTGGATGCAGGTTTTAAAACCTTAAATCAAAGTGCAATATTTTTTCCCCCCTTTATATTGGGTAATTATCTAGCTATTCACATTTCTTGAGACTGGATTACATCTTTAGGTTTGTAATGCAATTCTGGCAGTAACAACCTGGACTTACTAAAGACTTCACAGGTGAAGGACTCAACGCCCCCACAAGCCTTCCCTCACTTCAGATATCAGCCCCATGCCTGGGTTTCCAGGCCACCAGCACTTCTGAAGAACTGACTAGAAATTTAGCGGCTCCTATGACTCTCAGTTTCCATAATTCACCAGAACGACTCTCAGAATTTAGGAAAGTGCTGTGCTAATGGTTATGGTTTTATTACAAAAGATATGACTCAGGATCAGCCAAAAGAAGAGATGCAGTAAAGTCAATGGTTGGGAGGGTCCTGACTGTAAACATTCTGTGTCCTCAGAATGCATTATCCTCCAGGCACTTCAGTGTATATCCCCAACCAGGGGGCTCACCTGAACTACAATCTCCAGAGCTTTTATTGGGTTTTATTACATAGGTATGATTGATTGAATCATTGGCCATGTGCTTGAACTCAATCCCAAGCCCCCTCCCTTCCTAAAAGGCCAGTTGATACCATGTGGTTCAAATCCCCAACCCTCAAATCACATGGTTGGTCTTTCTGGCAAGAGTAGTCTGAGAGACTAACAAAGAAAACCCTATTACTCAGGAAATTCCAGGTGTTTAAAGGCTCCCTCCTAGGAACCAGGGACAAAGGCCAGCCACATTATTTAGTATGTAAGAAGACCTTGTCACTGTATTTTTATTAGTAACTCTTGGTGTTTTTATTAGTAACTCTTGGTAACCTAAAGTACTCCTTTAAGGTGGTAAGGATCTGTAGGCTATGTTTCTTTAACAAGGGACATTTATTAATTTCCTGGAAAAAGGCATATTTTATCTAGAAAGCAACTTGTTTGTTGACGTAAAAATTCATAAACTATGTAATAAATTTCTAGAAGTCATACCACATTGAAATATAATAATTAGGATAACAATAAAGCAGGCTTTCAAAACACAAAAATCTGTATTCTTTAGGATCCCATTATCTGATTCACAAGTACATTAGCCCAGTTCCTTCCTACGCTGGTGTGAAGGTGACATTGACACTTTACTGTTTCTTTTTCCTCTCAGAAGCATCATAGGATCATGTACTCTGTTTAGTGCCTATTTGGACTGCTGAGTATCCAAGCTTTCTATTAAGCTAGACTCATTAGTTTTAGAAAGCTTTCAATTAGCCAAACCGCTGGAATTAACTTTCTCACTGTAATTTTCAGCTGTTCATGCTGAAGTGAGTTCTGTTGGAGATGAGCATTTGTCTCACGATCTCCCACTTAACTGGATCTACACGAAACTGAAATTGTAGATGTGAAGACAGATACTGTGCGTCCCGTCTGTGGTACCAGGATGGCATATAGTCCAGTCAAGGCCACACGTCTGTTTTTTGACTGTTTTCATTTGGGGTTCTTTTGTTTTTCCCATGGGGTCACATTCAGATTTTTCATCAGCAGGATGACTGACCGTATGTCCCTCTTTGTCTGGGGATAGTCTAGCTTAATTCCATTGTCTTGAACTAATAATTAATGGCATCTCTGTCACTATCAAAAGTGTGTAGTTTGGGCAAAAATTGTATGGTCATCTTATTGTTTTGGCTAAGGGAATTCAGTTGGTCTTTTAGAGAGAGATCTCAGTTTTTTTCCAAAACAAATATTATTTTAAGGGTTTTCCCCCCTATTTTTAAAATTTTTATTAACACATAATGTGTTATTTGTTTCAGGGGTACAGGTCTGTGATTCATCAGTCTTACACAATACACAGTGCTCACCATAGCACATACCCTCCCCAATGTCCATCACCCAGCCACACCACCCCTCCCACCCCCCTCCACTCCAGCAACCCTCAGTTTGTTTCCTGAGATTAAGAGTCTCTTATGGTTTGTCTCTGTCTCTGGTTTCATCTTGTTCCCCCCTTCCCCCATTTTTGAAAGTAATCTATACATATCTTAAAAAATGTAAACAATACAGAAAGATAAGAAGAAAGTTTCTCTACAGAATTTTTGAAGATTTATCTTTTCTAAAAATAATCTTAAAGTGTTTTGAATATAACCATCTTACAAATGGTTGCATAGCAATAAGTTTTGTTTTTTAAAAAATGAGAATCATAGAGCCTTGAAAGAAATTCCAAGACTCAGAGCCACTTTTCCAAATGAAATCTTATGCAGAAGACTAAGCTATAAAACAGGTAACCATAGATTTGCTTTGGTGGAATTGGGCTGGGCTCCTGAAATCCTTCCCAACTTTATCCTTGCTTCCTTCAGGGGCCCCTATGATTGCATAGAACTCTTCTGACTCCTCAGAGCATAGTTTGAAGACTAGTTTCCAGAGAAGAATCATAGGCGATTATACGTGAATGTATTTTTCCATGGTAAAGCTCTCTAAAAATGTCAGGTTTTATTGTTACTATTAATGCAGTCAGGTGGAGGGAGATCAAGTCCTTATTTGTGTTCACACAGTTAGTTGGTACCAGAACCTGGTGAAAAACCAGGTCCCCATATGTTTTGCTGTTCACTCATATGCCTCCTTCCAATGACTTTTCTTTATCCACATTAATATTCAAATGACTGATTTATCACTTAGTGCAATTGTTTTATATGCTACTGTATTTTCATATTGTTTTACTTTTAAACGTGCTGTGGAGCATTTTAAACTTTACTAATGTAAGACTGTTTTCATTTGGTTTAGTAACTTATAATACAAGGGGAAGATCTTACTTAGGCAGTAGATGTCTTAATAAAGAACATAAGCTCTCCATTTTTATCTTTTAGCTAAATAGCTGATACATAGAGGCCTAAAATTAAGCATATTTTATATTTTAATTAATTATTTTAAAGAGCAGAAGGAAACTTTTATTATTCTGAGTTCTAAGGTATTGTAAACATGAAATAAAAACAGGATACTATAAAAAAATAAACATTTAGAAAACCAAAGAGAAGTTATACAAATATCCTATATTTTCTTATAATACCTTTCTGGTTTACTTTTTACATTTGTATCTCAAAATATTTCAATTTAATTAGGTGTAATATGTATGAAAATGATTTAAATGCTGACATATAGAGATAGGTATAGTAATAATAAAATATCTTTCATTTTTATAATGCATTAAGCTCATTAAGTGCTTTCACATATATCATTTATGGATAATACTCTCTTGTATATATACACACATACATATATATGTATTTGTGATTTAAATAACTTTATATACACTCCCACTTGTGACCATGCAGGTTACGCAGATCTGTGATATGTCCTATTCACAGAGACAGTGGTGTGAATGGTAAACCCCAAAACTGGGCAGTGCACAACCTCCTCAACTGCACATGGCCCTTTCAATAGCCCTTCCAATGAGGTGTTCCTCCCTCTGTGTGGTTGGGGAATCAGACGTATACACAGTCAAGTATAACAGGTGTGATAAATGCTGGTTATGGTGTAATCTAAGTATTGTAGAGCCCAGAGGAGGAAGGGAGTAGTCCCTTTAGGGGATTACAGAAATCAATGTAATGAAAGAGTTGACATTACTTGAAGAAATTCCATATTTATATTATATTAATATTATATTTTTTTAGGAATTATAGAGGCTGAATTGTCTACTAAGAAATTAACTCAGAAAATTTGTTATCTCTAGTTTTAGGGCTCCCAGCTTAGAATGGACAAGGGCAGCTTTCCTTATCTCCATTCCCGAGTCTGTCTGGATTTCTAACCTCCTAGTTTTTATTTCTTAAAATGCCACTGTCACAGCTTGGGTTAACTTTGATATGCCATGTGAGTGTGAGATAGGCAGACGAGAAAATCAGAATCTTCTCTAGGTTCCATACATTGCTTAAGATGATGTCATGCGGACTACTGTTCTCTGATTTCAGAGTAAAGTTTTTGTTTATTCTTAGAGAACAGCATAAACCGCCCTTAGTTCAGGTCCTTGCTAGAGATCTCAATTTTATTAATCAATGGCTGAGTTGAGATAAACAACATTTATGGATGGTCATTCATCTGAATCAATATTTGACAAATTGTGTTTGGCTGACGCTAATCGTGAGAGATTTTTTGGCTCAGAAGTGGCTACTCTAGGAATATGTAAATAAGGATCTCATAATGCACATTAGTCTGTAAGCTGAGCATCACTTTATGGTGTGTGTTTTATTGCTAACTGAATATGAATGAATGAAGACTACGAGGGACCAGAACAAAGAGACTGAGGAGTGTTTAGAGGTGAGACTGGATGTGTAAGTAGGGACATTATGGAGTTCTTTGTAAGTTGTTCCTGGGGAACCAGTGGAGTGGCGTGGGGTTCCACTGCCCTTCAGAAGGTTCATTCTGGCTGCAGAGGGGAGGAAAAGATGGAAGAGGTACGGGTGTCCTCAGAGAGACCCAGGAGGAGAGGGAGGTTGGGCTGGACCAGGTAACAAAAGGCAGCATGGAAGTAGCATGAGGATGGGTTCAAGTTGTGATCAGGAAGCACAACTGTTGTTGGCTGGATACATGTGGTTGGAAGAGAGGGACAGAAGAGAGAGAAGAAAGTTACAGATGACCCCCAGGTTTCTTTTCCTCATTTACTATATCAAATATACGTTTTTAAAGATTTATTTATTTCAGAGAGGGAGAGAGAAAGAGAGAATGCAAGAGCAGGGGCAAGTGCAGGGGAAGAGAATCCTCAAGCAGACTCCGCACTGAGCATGGAGCCTGACTCGGGGCTTGATGTCATGACCCTGAGATCATGACCTGAACCGAAACCAATAGTCGGATGCTTACCCGACTGAGCCACCCAGGCATCCCTGTATCAAATATTTATAAATAAGTGCAGTGTGCCAGATACCTTTCTAGACACTGAGGATGCAGTGATGAGCAAGATAAACAAGATGCCTTCCCTTTTTACATTCTGGTAGGAGAGACAGACAATACTCAGAGGAAAAAAAACCACCTATTTTTGTTAACTGGACTGTGGTTATCTCACCTAAAACAGTGGATGGTGGTCTCCCCCAGATGAAGGAGATCAGAGAGAGTGTGGGTGGCAGAACACTACAAAGATTATCAGTAGTTCTTCAGACTGACTTTTTTTTTGGGGGGGGGAGACAGAAAATTCTGGATAAAATTACAAATCACACAATATAGATAGTGTATATGATTTTTTAAGAAGTTTCCAGGACTTACTGGAGGAGGCAGCACTGAAGGGGGGGGAGCAGTTTAAGAGGTCATGGTATTAATTCCCATTAATTCCCAGGACAAATAACAGTCCTCAGGCATGTCACTCTTCAGGGAGGAGATACATTCAATAGCAATATTGAAATTATGAGAGAAAGGATGTATTGATGTTAGATGGGTAAGGGTTTGGATGGGGCAATTGGGTCATTGATGCCATTCCCCGAAATGAGCACCCAGCAGGGAGTACAGACTTTGGGGTAAGAAGCATTTATGTTTGGATATGTTGATTTTGTGATGCTATGGATCATCCATGTGGGGAAGTCCAGCTGGAGAGACCAGTCACATATATGGTTTTCCCGAACAGTTCCCAATAGATAAATGATGGAGTAGAACCTGCAGTTATTATATTTCAGGCCTTTAGAAGGTGTCCCCAAACTTCAAATTATGCATTAGATAATGACTTAATGGGTAGCAATTCTAAAAACAGAAAGGTCTCATCTCCAGGGTCACAAGCTATTTCATTTTACTCCCTCCCTTGTTTTTGTTTTTGTCCCCTTAGCTCTTTTATGGCATATATAGCTTACTAGTAATTTCCCTCTTATTTCAAAAAAAAAAAAGAATAGGGTCACAATGAAGGGGAAGCAAGTGCAGGTATGGGGCTATTACTTCATATTATCCCACGTATGGCCTTTTAGCTCTTAGATGGCCCCCAAGACATAAAATCTTCATGTGCTGTGAGTTCTCATTAATAGACAAGGGAATGTCTGGAAGGCTCTAGCTTGCTTTAGGGAGGTGTCAGGAGATTATTAATTGCCTTATGCATTTAAATTCATTGAAAAGCAGAGCTAAATTTAGCCTAGTACATTACTTTAAACAGCTTGCTTTTATATCAGGGGAATAGAAAATTCTTTTTGGCATTGAACTGTTGTCCTGAGAGATTTATTTTGTAATTGAATGAGTTGTGATATATTTATATATCTTTATATTTGGAAATGGTGAAAAAATTTCGTATCTCTTGCCATTATTCATTAAAATGGTGATGGAAAATTATAACTTGAAATTACCAACTGCAAAAATTTCCAAGGACAAATATATAGATTTTTGCTTATATGTGGCCTTATTTTGTGGTTGTATCTTGGATTACTAAAGTCATTTTTAACTGATTTGCTTTTTATCATGAAATAACTAAGCTTTTTTTTGGATAGGAGAAGAATGCATTTTATTGCAATAAACTGCTGCTTTCTCCTACATTTATACATCATCTTTAACATGACTTAAAATCATGAATCAGTAGATTACTACAGTGGTAGGAATGGAATGAGGCCTTTGAGACTGAGTTTCTAGAGCGTGAGAACCATGAAGGCTTTTCTGTTTTCTTTGTGGTGTTTGCTCTGGTTACTCAGTTCATGCATTTTGAATGACCGGTTGATTTCCAAGCCTCATGGTACTAACATGGAAATGATCATACCGTGATCAATAGTCTGGGCTCCCCCCCCGCCGAATCTTCCTCTTACCTCTTCCAATGCTCCTTCCATCAGTTTTTCTTTAAATTGAGGAATAGTTGACCTATAATGTTACATTAGTTTAATCAGTTGTAAAGTTCTTTTTCATATTGCTAGGGAAGTTTTTGTTTTTGTTTTTTAATAGAGCACAGTGTAGTCTTCTTTACCACCTAAACTCAGAATGGAGAGATGAGAAAGACACGTGGGTGTAATTTGCAGTTTTGTCTCAGGGGCTGAGAGGTGATTCATTCTGATTCCTTCAGCCCTAAAGCACTGTATCTGGATTGTGTTTGGCTCACTGGCAGCCTTCTCAATGGAAAGCAAGCAGTCTTCCAGTTGTGGCAGGCTGTGTGGCTCTGAGTACAGACCTAAGAAGCTTCTTGGGCAGTACAGGGAAACTGTGGAAGGGCTAAATTATTCTTTGAATAATGGGGCTGCAGGATAGAGTATCATCAATGTAGGAACAATAAGATAAAAATCTGTAGAAATGGACCAAGGAGTCCCATCCCACTCAAAATGTACAGTAATTAGAATTCCATTTACTCCTAAATTAAAGCAGATTTTCAAGGGGAAAGAGGAAGATGGGGGTGGGTACCCAGACTATTGATCACCGTATGATCATTTCCATGTGAGTACCATGTGGCTTGGAAATCAACTGCATGAACTGCATGAATCAAAACGCATGAACTGAGTAAACTTTTCAAAGATTAACATTATGGCAAGATAATTTAGGTACTTCATGCCCTGATTTCCAGAACTAAAAAGAGTTTTGGGGTTGTTTGTAATTCCCATCAATTCCAATGTTCCTAGATTTTAAAAATAATTTACCGTGTCTTAGAGGATATTTTCACAAATCTTTCTGTTGGCTTTCTTGTTTCACAGAGGACAATAGAGAGCTATGTGGATAAGCGTATGGGTACAACATATGGTCCTCCTGCAGGAAAGAAGATGACTGTTTTTATTGATGATGTGAATATGCCAATAATCAATGAGTGGGGAGATCAGGTATATTGATCCTATCACATGCTTCATTTCAATTCAACATTGATTTACTCTTTGAGGAGTAAATGTTTTCCCACTTTTTTCAATATGCAGTTCCTTAGTTCCAATAAAGTCTATTATTTGGAAACACTCAAGTTAGTTTCTGGGATGTAAAGGAGTGACCTTTTAATTATGAAAGTTGTCTTTCTTAGGTTACTAATGAGATAGTACGACAGCTGATGGAACAGAATGGATTTTATAACCTAGAGAAGCCTGGGGAGTTTACCAGCATCGTGGATATCCAGTTTTTGGCAGCCATGATCCATCCTGGGGGTGGACGCAATGATATACCGCAAAGACTCAAGAGGCAGTTCTCTATATTTAACTGCACATTGCCTTCTGATGCTTCCATGGACAAGATCTTTGGTAAAATGGTGACAGTGGGGCATGGGGAGGGAAGAACATCTGCTTGCAGTCCAATGAGAAAATATCCACCCAGAGGTCAACACAGAAGGGGCATTGGGTGGCTCCTGAGTCTTTTACCCTCATCACTCTCCAGTTGTGTTTATATCGGGATTTTGTTTCCATAAGGATTTGTGATATCCTGAATTGGGTGCCTAGGCAGATCTTTTCTACCTTTGTTTTTCTTGAAGTAACTGTTGCTAGCTTCTTAGGCAAGGAGGTTAAACATTAAATGAACAAGGACATGATGAGATTGTTTCCTCATAGATATACCTATATGAGGTCAGAATTGATAGAATACCATGCCAAAAGTTTATGTAACTGGTACTTTAACCAAGCCCTATAATGATTTTAGCCAAAGAAATAATTTTGCCTATAGCAGAAATTATCCAGTGTCTGATCTTCAGAGTAATTTGTAGGATTGAAATAAGTTATTGATTGGTTAAATAGGTAGTATTTCAGAAATAATATCATTGAAGAAACACTAGCCCAGTAGATAACTATGATGGTTTGAGTAATGAAAAGAGTTTACAGTTGATTTTGTAGTTACTCTTTGCAGAAAAAGAGTGTAAAGTTATGTACGCATTGTATTAGGTATTAATTTACCACTTCTGAAGCTGCTGAGAGAAAACTCATTAGGATTACCCTAATTAATTTCTGGCAGACTAAAATGTCATCTCAGCACCCTGGGCTAGTGGAGTATGGCAGTATCTGCCTTCCATCGTGGCAGTGGACAGAAGTTTGGAAGCCAAATGATATGTGAATGATCTAAACCTGGGAAAAGTACAATGATCCAGAAAAAAATGACTATTATCAATTTTAATTATTCTTTTTGCCTAGAAAGTTTTACATATAAAGTAAATTAAAATATCTTATAATGCATGGAAGGCAACAACAGAATGGAGAAATCTTAAGGGTTCATGAAACCTCCTTTTTTCTTATTTCTTTATAAGGCAACTGTATGTATTTAACATCACTCACTTGGTAATATTGAATTTTTCAGCTAGAGCTTTCAGGAGTCTTTCTTAATCAACCTTTCAGTATTTAAATGCTAACTGACTTGAACCTGTATCTATTTTTTAGATTTAAAAAATTAAGAGAACATCAATATAAATTTCTTTGGTATGTGGCCGTCTACTAAAATGTGTATAATATTTGTGCCAACTCTACATTATAATGGTTTTCATTTTAATTTCACTGACTTGAACCATCACGGAAAATGTGATGACTTTTTTTCCTCTTTCAGGTGTTATTGGGAGAGGCTACTACTGTGCTCAGAGGGGCTTCTCAGAAGACGTGAGAGATTCGGTGATGAAACTGGTTCCCCTCACACGCCGACTGTGGCAGATGACCAAGATTAAAATGCTCCCTACACCTGCAAAATTCCATTACATATTTAACCTTCGAGATCTTTCCAGGATCTGGCAGGGCATGCTGAACACCACCTCAGAGGTTATCAGGGAACCGGATGTAAGTGATATATAGGAGGGAGACAGATGGCATCGTTATTTATCCTATGCCCTAAATATTACTCGTAATGTAGTTTTTAGTGGAATGATGAAAGATTTTGGAATGTTTCAGCATGGATATTCTTTTTTTTTTTTTGCTACTTTTCAACTAATATAAATAAGGGAGAAGTATGTCAGAAAATTTCTTTTAAAAAATTCCAATTAAATTAAATTTATGTTTAAGGAAATAGTATACACAATTATTTTCTAATGCATGGAATAAAGGAAACAATGGATCTTATTTTCCCGTTATAAGATATCTTCCTTATACTAAATAATGGAAAAAATCATTCTTGATTTTGTTACATAATAGTCTTCATATTTTAAACTTGACATTTTAACTTTAAAAAAGTAATTATCTTTATAAACATTCAAAGTTGAAGAGACCATTTTGTTGTTAATAATCCTCAATCTTTCTAAGTAACTAGATGTGCTGAAAGAATTTTGCTTATTGGTATAATTGAAAAGAGGCAGAAAAGTAGAAAGTTCATTTGGCTGAAAAATGAGCATTTTTACACACACTTGAATATAAAAGTTCCTAGCATTAAAAGAATTCCCTTCAAACTAGAAACCTTATGGAAAAATCCAGTATGTTTTTTTTTCCCCCAAAGCATGGCTGGTGTGCTCAGGCTTAGGTAACCTTGGCTTCTCTTGTAGTTTTATGGAACCGAGGAGGTAGTTAAACAAGTGGGTTTTAGGGCCTTGTCCACATAAACACACAGGGTCAGCTGAGATATCCACCAAACTGTCACTAGACATATCAAGTAGTGACTATAAAAAACGCCAACTTTGCCCCAGATAACTCACAAAGTAGGTAATGACGCTGGCTGACTCCAAGACAGACATTTCGGGGAAAACTCACTGTCCTTGTTACAGAGAACAGAGAGTCATTTTAAGCAGCAGGGAACATTTTATCTTGATTTTTTCCCCTCAGATTTATTGACAAATTAATGGTAATGCAGAATGCATGTCCCCAATATTATTTTTTTGAGTAGCCATTTTTTGATGCTTACTTTAAATCTCCATAAATAGTTCCAGCAATCGTTGAATATATATTACTAAGTTCCTTTTATATTTTCGTAACCAAATAGCATTTTATCATTAGTAATCGAATGGCTTAAAAACCTCCTAACCAGCAAAATTCTAGCAAGTTAAGAAATTTCCATCAGTCTTTCAGATCAAATGAATTTGCTATACAAACAGGTGTCTAGAGCAGTTAATTTCCTCAACTTCCAGCTAACTTTGCACCTTGGATTATGTAGACTAGGTAGATTGCTTTGTTCAGATAACCCAGATTTTTAACACAAATTTCCTTCACATTGTGTTAAGTAGATATACCTTTGTAATATCTCCATTGTATACATGAGAACTATTTATATCCTACATTTTATATTACGCTCTGGCCACATGAATGTAGGTGTCTTATCCAAACATACTAATTTATCACAGACTTAAGACTTTTAAATAAAATATTACCTTGTTGGTTATTCAGAGTGGTTTTAGTAGTTTGTCTAGGGATATTTTCATTTTAATTTAAAGACTGAAAATGAATAGACACTACTCTCTATTTGATATACTTGAATGAGACCAATTTGAAATGAAGTTAAGTATGTTTTAACCTCAAGTTTTTAAAATGTAGCATCTTGGATCAGGAAGGATGGTGCTCTGTAATTCTGTCAACTTGATTCCCAACTGTGGCAAATAGAAATGAGTAACATATTTTAATTATACTTTCGACAGGAACTGTTACGGCTGTGGAAGCATGAGTGTAAACGTGTTATAGCTGATCGTTTCACGGTGTCCAGTGATGTGACCTGGTTTGATAAGGCTTTAGTAGGTTTGGTGGAGAAGGAGTTTGGTGAAGAGAAAAAACTCTTGGTGGATTGTGGAACTGATGCTTATTTTGTGGACTTCTTGAGGGACGCACCTGAAGCTACAGGTAAACTATTGAGCGGAATTTGAAATTCCCCAAAGGGGTACCTGAAGACAGAATGTTCAGTTGAGGGATGTTGGATTTCTGTCTAGTAAGCTTCACTGAAACAAGCTGGAGACATTGTAGGTGCTCAGTAAATATAGACCGAGTGGATACTCCTGGAATTCAGAGATGAACCATTTTTATGCATATTAGTCTCGCACATTAAGGTAGATTTGGGAGGCAAGACAGGGTAGAAGAAAGTGCCCAGGACTTATAGCTGTCACACAGCGGTAGGTTTGAGGAAGGGATCTACCACATAGTAACTGGGCGAGTCTGTGAGCTTTCTTGAACCTCATTCTCCTCATTTATGAAAATGGAAATATTAATATATGTACCATAGGGCACTGTGGGGAATAAATGAAATGTTATCTGTAGAGTGGCTTGGCAGTCTGCCAAATGAAAGGTAGCAAAAATAATGATAATTATTATTCAGGTCATCCTGATTGTTAAAAATAGATAAACCTCAGATATCTGAGAAGACCATTGCCTATAATTGGGAAGAGATGGGCGACGTGCATATAAGCTTTCGTGGTTATGGTTCTATAAAAAATGGAGATGTATATTACTTTTCTTCTTATGAAAAGAAATAGTGCTCCAGTTACTTCTTTCCCTCAGAAATAACTGAGCTTAAGTAGAATATTTTCTTTCATTTAATTACCTCTTTTAATACTGAGGGTAAATTTTAAATTAATTTCCATATTTAAAAAGGCATACTTAAATTCATGCTATTTATATCTTCTAAATGGTTGAAAATGACCATGCAGCACCTTTCTAGATTTGATAAGGACGTATTTGATCTATCAAAAGTTTCCAAGCGACAGTTCCAAAAGGAGGTTTACTGCTGGCTATGCAGTTGGAGGGATTCTTCCACAGAAAGAAGCTGACACATTTTATTTTAAATGAGGTCACACACATACAAAAATCCTGTAAGTGTAAGAGCATTTAAAATTAGAATTTATGTATCTCATTTTCTCTAATTCAGAAGGATAAATAATTAGAATTTACGTATTTAGTTTCTTTTAATTCAGAAGGCTAAATTATTGAATGATGGTTTTCGAGGAGCAAAGCACAATTGCGTTTTTGGGGGGTGGTCATGTTGGAGGCAACAGCTAACCTTTTTTGACTTCAAAGCCCTTTGTTTCTCAAAGCTTGAGTTGAACATTTATGAAACACTGAAGGGACTATTGAAATTCAATTAGTGAGAGCTTTGCAAATAAGCCAATCTTCATGATTATGTTACATCAGTTTTCTTGCTTTGTCATAAAAAGGTTAATATGCTATTATATTAGGACAGGGTCAATTGAAAATAATTATGTACTGTTAGATTTGGAAGAGCCACTCACTCTTCTAGTACCCAGTGAATTTCTAAGTTGTTATTGGCATATTCAACTCATGTGTCACTTTTTTTCCTGTTACTGATGTTAACTGATGGAGAACTAATATATGCCCAATTTAGCTTTCTTTTAGCATTATGCTTTATATTCAAAGATGGAAAAGTGTTACACTGGTACATTATGTGTTTCTAATTTTTTAAAAAAGTATATTGATTTTAGTACATCTTTTCTCAGTGACATAATTCATTTATTTAGGAAATCATTATTCTACCCTCTACCTCCATTCCCCCAAATTCACTTCTGTCTTCACTACTAACTTGAAATTCCTGATTCATAGGAATTTCCTGAACAAATGCAATGACCTTTTCCTTTTTCTCTTATTAAAAAACCTTTTAAGTCTTGACCTCTCTAACTGATTCTGACATTAAATCCCTACTTTTTCGACCTTCATTTTGACCATTAAACGAATACCCCTGGAAGATTCCTTGAAATGCCAATACTCAGTTATGGATTTGGATTAAATTCAATATATATGACGTTATTTGAAATAGGCCCTTTCTAGACAGGAAAGAACTAAGACTAGGTAGGATCACAAGAATTCCAATGCTTTTACTATTGTTTGCTTACTTTTTTTTTTCTTTTAAAGATTTATTTATTTACTTAAGAGAGAGAGAGTGAGAGAGAGGGAGTGCCTGCGAGTGGGGGGAGAGGCAGAGGGAGAGAGAGAATCTCAAGCAGACTCCCCGCTGAGCATGTAGCCCATGGAGGCTCCATCCTAGGACCCTGAGATCATGACCTGAGCTGAAATCAAGAGTCAAACACTCAACCAATGGAGCCACCCAGGCACCCCTGCTTTTCTTTTTTTTTAAATTTTATTATGTTATGTTAATCACCATACAATACATCATTGGTTTTTGATGTGGTGATCCACGATCCATTGTTTTCGTATAACACCCAGTGCTCCATGCAGTACGTGCCCTCCTTAATACCCATCACCAGGCTAACCAATCCCCCT